GGCCAGGGGCTGGCGCCCCGACCACAAATGTGGGGCCCGGGCGTCATTTTCCTTGTGTTTTATATGGTTTTGGCGACCCGGGGCCAACAGGGCCCCAAGAGGTTGCAGGGAGGCCCCAGGAGGCCGCAGCGATGGCTCCAGACGCCTTTCAAGACGACTCCCATGACGCCAAGAAGGCCCCCGAAGGCCCCGAAGACGCCCCGAGAGGCACCCCGTGAGAGGCCCAATAAGCAAAAACCGTTGATTTCCTATGGGAAAGCTGCTGTTTTGGGCGTGTTTGCCTTTTGGGCGTCCACTGCGTCCAAGACGGCCCAAGAGGCCCCCAAGACTGCCCCACAGGCTCCCAAGAGGGCTCCAAGACGACCCCACGAGGGGTCCCAAGACGGCCCGAGAGGCTCCCAAGACAGCCCAAGGGAGCTCCAGGACGAGCCCCAGAGGTGCACAACCATATTCAAATTCCGAGCTTTCGGCCCCAGAGGCTCCCAGGAGGCCCCAAGAGGTCCCCAGGAGGCCCCGAGAGGCCCCCCAGAGGCCCCAAGAGGCCCCCAAGAGACCCCCAGGAGGCTCCCAAGAGACGCCCAATAGAGCCCCAAATAAACAAAAAATCGTCGATTTCCTAGAAGGGAAAACTTCTATTTTTGGCGTGTTCGCCTTTTGGGCTTCCACTGCGTCCAAGACGGCCCAAGAGGCACCCAAGACGGTCGAGGATGTCCCCAAGAGGGCTCCAAGACGGCCCCCGAGGCGGCCAAGACGGCCCACGAGACGCCTAAACCGCCCAAGAACGCCCCCCAGGAGCCCAAGAGGCCTTTCTGGGGAGCCTTCACAGCGCTCCAGGAGGGCCCAAGACGCCTCCCAGGAGCCCCCAGAATGCGAAAGGATGGTCCAAGACGCTCCCAAGCAGCCCAAGTCAGCCTTCCGACGGCTCTCGAGGCTCCCAGGTGGCCTTCAAGAGACCCCAAGAGAGGTCCAAGAGGCGTCCCGGGACGGCCCGAAGACGATGTTCATGTGTTTTTGTTAATGTTTTTGGCTTCTCGCGTTTTCGAGCTTCCAATGGTCCAAGAGCGCCGAAGAGGCTCCCAAGACCGCCCCAAGACCACCCAAGAGACCCTCAGGACGGCCCCAAGACGAGCCAAGAAGGCTCCAAGACTGCCGAAGAGGCGCCCAGGACAGCCCCAGACCACCCCAGAACAGGCCCCAAATGGGCCCAAGAGCAGGAGCAGGAGGCTTCCAGAGACCTCCGAGAGGCTTCCGGGACCCCCCAGAGGCCCCCAACACACCCCCGATCCCTAAGAGGCCCCAAAAAGATTCCGACGAGGCTCCAAGAACAGCCCAAGAGAGCTGCGAGAGCCGTCCCGAGAGAGCCCAAAGAGGGTCAAATCGTTGATTTCTAATGTTTTTGGCCTTCTCACGTTTTCCTGCTTCCAACCCTCGAAGGTCGAGGTTCTTTTGGAGAAAGAAAAAACAAGAATTCCCAGAATTCCCTTTTTAAAAATGGGACTCCGACTCGGAGATCCCACACATCCCCTGGCATCTGGCCGGTACTGCGTCTCCTGGCTTCCTGGGGGGCCCCCAAGACGCCCAAGGACAGCACGAGACGACCCCAAGGAGCCCCCAGAACGTAAAGAACGGCCCAACACGCTCCCGCGCAGCCCGACACACCCTTCCGACGGCTCTCCAGGCCTCCAGGAGGCCTCCAGAACCCCCAGGGGGTCTGGAAGATCCCGCTCCCTTGAGGGGCTCGGCTAACAAAACCTGCGAGGCACAAACAAAAAACAGCGCCGAACAGCGCCAAAGAAGTGGAACAAATTGTAATCCCACAATTCCTTTCTCTTGTTCTCAATGAACGATTTCTGCGTTTCCGCACTTCCCCTTCTATACGATTCCGAGGCTTGCGCAGGGCCTCCAAGGGAGTCCCTGGACGCAAGAAGCGACCAAAATGAGATTGCATGAGTTGGCCGATCAAGCCTAGCTAGAACTTGAACGCGCGCGAAGCGCGCGCGATGGTTCTAGTGCCAATATGCGCATTGTTATTGCTACTACGATTATCCTTGTCGTCGTGCTCCTCTTTCAACACTGTTTCATCCGCTTCCTCCTCCTCCGGCGGCGGGGGCGAGGGTGGGGGGACTGTGCGCCTCTTGTTCCCCCGCTCGGGGGAGCGGATGGGTCAAGCGTAATTCATCAGTCCCCAGGGGGCGCCCTCTCGGCTGCGTGCCATATCGGAGGGTTGCCCCTGATGGGGCAGTGCGGCTTTGCCCGAGTGCAGCGGCCGCCAGGAAGGTTGTCGTTCTATGTAACGCCACTCAGAGTTCCGAGCGTCGCGAGGGTCCCAGGTTTCACGCCCCTAGAGCCGAGCAGACAAGCGAACTCCACGAGCCCGATCCCGATCCCGATCCTCCTCCTCATCCTCCTCCTCCTCATCCATTCCTGCTCCTCATAGATAACTCTTCCCTGTCGCACCCCGAGGCCAATTTTTAGGGCGGACCGGGCGTTTTGCCTGAGACTTCCTCATCATTTATGATTCTGGAGCCTAACAAGTGGCAACATATTAACAAATGGAGGGCGGGTGGTTTTCAAAATGTGGCTCTCGCCTAAGCGCCGCGCACATTCGTTTTAAACATTTGCATGAGCTTCGCGGATTGAGGGCGGGTCGTTTTCAACATGTGGCTCTCGCCTTAGCGCCGCTCACGTTCTTCTTCAAAATTTGCCAAGCTTCACGGATTGAGGGCGGGTCGTTTTCAATATGCGGTTCTCGCTATAGCGCCGCGCACATTCGTGTTCAAAATATACAAGAGCGTCACGAATTCCCATGATCAACGCACCAGAAATGGTGTTTTGAAAAGACTCCGGATTATGCGGGCGCAAAAGTTATATTGATTCGTTGTGTTGAAGTCCCAGAAATGGCGTTCTGGCACGACCCTGGAAAGACGCAGCAGTCAGGTTGATACGTGGCGTTGAATTTCCGAGAACAATGTTTTGCCACGCTTCAGGATCTTCAAATTCTTGACTTCCAACGAGGCAGTTCCCTCAATGGACATGAGCCGTTGTATGGGCCTATGAAGAGGGACCTTGGAGGGAGGGTTAATCCAACATTGTTGATGGTTCTTGGGTTTCCACTGGTCTTCCTCCTCCTCCTCCTCGTCATCATCAGCATCATCACCATTATCATCATCATCATCATCATCATCATCATCATCATCATCATCATCATCATCATCATCATCATCATCATCATCATCATCATCATCATCGTCAGCATCATCGTCAGCATCAGCATCATCATCATCATCACTCGTCTGTTCTCCTCCCTCCGTCCGCCTCTCATGAGGCCCCGAAACCTCAGAGATAGCCCCGCAACTTTGCGCGCCCCTGTGGCGTTGTGGGCGCGACTGCTTTCGCACACGCAGACCCCAATGGACAACTCTCTCTCATTATCTCTCTCTCTCTCTCTTTCTCTCCCCCTCTCTCTCTGCATACATACATACATATGTGTGTATGTATGTATGTATGTTTTTCTCTCTCTCTCTTTCTCTCTCTCTCTCTCTCTCTCTTTCTCTCTCTCTCTCTCTCTATATATATATATATGTATTATCTCCCCTGCTTCCGCGCTCCCGATTGGGATTTCCTCAAGTTCTACGGCCCTACGCCCCCAAGTGTGCAACAGATAAATGAACTGAGGGCGGCTCCTCGTCAACACGAGGTTCTCGCTTGAGGCATCGCAGCTTGTGTGGCCAGAACCTGAAACATGGGCAACACCCACACTGATGGAGGGCACAGCCTTTTCAAAAGGGGTCCTCGTTGGGAATTCCGATGGGCGTTATCATCCTACCTCTTTGCGCGTTTCTAGCTTAGCTGGAAGGATGGAGGACGGATCCTTCACAACACGGGGCCTCGCCCAAGTGGCAGGCCCACCAGGCCGTCGTCACATTCGAGAGGGGCGCTTCCCGCGGTGGAGTGGAACACTTGCGAGGACTGCCGACAGGGGGGAGGCGGGGACAGGAAGGCGTACAGTCAAGACTTGCGAGGACTTCTGACGGGGGGGGCGGCTTGAGTGGAACACTTGCGAGGACTTCTGACGGGGGGAGGCGGTGACGGGAAGGTGTACAGTCAAGACGCTGGAAGAAGGACCGCTGTGGGTTCGGAAGGGGTCGCTGCTGTTCCTGAAGTCATTCCGTGGTTATTCCTTGAGCCCTCCTCGTCCACCCAGGCGCTGCGGTCGCCAAAAAAGGGGCTTCGCTCGTTATGTAGCGTTCCTTATTTCAGCAGCCCTTCTGCATCACAGCATCGCTGACGCATCCTCGGCCTACTCTGGCCGTTCCTCCCTCCTCTCCGAACACCCGCTGGCTCCCAGAGATACGGGGGGCGGGCCACAGGGGCTGCTCTGAACTCGGGAAGTCTGGCTCGACGGCCCGACTGGGGCCCGCCACGGGCGCCGTTTCGTGGGCGTGGGGCGCTCGGAGAACCTCCAGGGCCGGCGCTTCCTTCGCTTGCCTGGACAAGAGTAAAACGACGCCAAGATCGGGACAAAATCGGATCGGGATAACTCGAAATCTCTGAGAATCGGCGGGTTTGGAGGATGTATTGGGCGCCGCGGCCGCTCCAGAGCGTTCCAGAACGCTCTGAGAGCGCTCCGGAACGTTCTGGAGCGATTTATCCCGATCCTAGCCTTGTTTTGAAGAGGTCGTTCAATATGTTGAGGGCTGGACCGAGTTCCAGAAGCACACGTACAGCCAAGACGCCGGAAGCAGGAACCAGTTGAGTTCGGAAGGAGCTCGACGTTCAACAGGTCCTTCCACGGCTGTTCCTTCAACCGTCCTCGTGCACGCAGGCGCTTTTAGGGCCAAAAGGGGTTTCGTTCCTTCTTTACCGGGTTTTATTTTAGCAGCCCGATTGTATCTTCTTAGACATCGTTTGGGATACGTCTTCACGGCAAAAAGATGGTGTTGCTTCGCCCCAGCGTGTTAAGGATCGGCAGGCAGACACGGGCGAAGTCTACAGGTCAGTCTCGGTCAGCTACAACGCTGGGGTCAGCGCGTGCGAGAAAGGCGGGCAGTGGCAACGGGCTTTGTCGCTGCTTAGAGAGATATGGGACGCGACGTGGGAGCCTGACGTCGTGAGCTACAACGCTGCGATAAGCGCGTGTGGGAGAGGCGAACAGTGGCAGCGGGCTCTGTCGCTGCGCAGCGAGATGTGGCAGGCGACGTTGCAGCCAGACGCTATCAGCTACAATGCCGAGATCAGCGCGTGTGGAAAAGTTGGGCAGTGGGTGCAGGCTCTGTCGCTCCTCAGCGAGATGCGAGGGGCAAAGTTGGAGCCAGACGTCATCAGCTACAGCGCTGGGATCAGCGCGTGTGGCGGAGGCGGGGAGTGGCATCGCGCACTGCTCTTACACAGAGAACTGAGGCAAGCAGATCTGGAGCCGAATGCCATCGGCTACAACGCTGTAGTCACGGCGTGCCAGCGAGGTCAAGAGTGGCAGCATGTGTTGGCTCTGCTGTTTGAAGCGTGGGCTGCCGGTGTGAAGCTGGACGTGGCCAGCCACCGGGCCGGCATTGACGCGTGGGAGAAAGGTGGGCACTGGCAGCAAGCTCTGTCGCTGCTCGGGTGGTCGCTGCAGCTGCGGCTGGAGCCCGGGGCCGGCGTGTACAGCGATGCGATCGGCGCTCAGCAGGCCCTGATTCACCACCCACCAAGCCACCCCAACCCAACCCGAAGGCCTCAATTTGCCCTCCAATTCCAGTGGGGGGGGGGGTCGGGGAACATTGAAAGATGGAACCCTTACCCCCCCCAACCCGAAATTCGGGTCTTCGGGTTGGGTTGGGGTGGTCTGGTAGGTAGTCACTGACGCGTCGATCGGGACCCGATCTCGCCGCTGACCAGGCCGACCTTCCATCGATCGGCGACCATGGCGATCGGCGGGGCCCTGCCAGCCGATCTTGGCTGCTGCGCCCCCTCGACGCAGGTCGGGTGGCCTCCTCGCGGCCGAGAGGCGCGCGGTGGCCAGGAGGGCCTCTCCGCTCCCTGCTCCGCGCTCTCCTCGTGGCAGCACCACGGCTGCAGACCGGCTCGGCTGCATCGGGGCCTCTCGGCCGCCTCCTCCTCCTCCTCCTCCTCCTCCTCCTCCTCCTCCTCCTCCTCCTCCTCCTCCTCCTCCTCCAGCCCGGATCGAGAGAGGGGGGCGGGGGGCACCCCTCTAAGGGCGGGCGTGTGCGAGAGGAGCGGGCACGTGCCCCGCCTGGCAGCGGGCGGCGCCCTCGCGCGGGGGAGGTAGAGGCGCGAAAGGGCGAGGCCGCGGGCGCCGAGGCCCGCCGCGGCTGCCCGACCGCTCGGCGCTGGGAGGCCGGCCCGGGCCACCGGCAGGGCCGCGACGCGGAGGGCCGAGGCGGCCGTGGCCCTCGCCGAGATGCAGCCGCGATGCGGACAGCAGCCCCGTGCCGGCGTGCTGCAACAGGGCGTGCGAGAATCGCATCAGGCTGGCAGCTCTCGGCTCCGGAGGGCGTCTCCCGTGCCGAGGGTAGGTCGGGAGACTTGTGGCTGGCGGCTCGGCTCCAGAGGAGAGCTCCTGTGCCACGGGTGTGTCGGGAGCCTTGCATGGCCATGACCACTGGGCTCCGATGCGGGAGCTGCAGTGGGATATAGGAGGTCATGGGATAACGCACATCCAGTTCCACAGTCGAGGTTCTGGCGGCCCTGGGCTGAGCAACGGCGATGGAGCCTTGCCTCAGCAAGTTTACATCGGGGGGGTCACAGCCGGCCAGATAACAGCAGCAGAGCAGCTCAACCAGCACCTGTTGAACACAGTAACTTTCGAGGTCTGAGTAGTCATGGCCGAGCATGGCGGCAGTTAGCAGTCGAGCAGCAGTACCCTGGTTTGAGCAGTCTGGTTCCTTCCATTTCTTCCAGCGACCGTACATGGCTAGCCAGCCGTGCATGGTGACGGCGAGATCCATCCGGAGGAAAGTTTTCTCTTCCATCTCGACCTTGCATCGTGCGCCTGGGTTCGTTGGCACTGGTGCACGGCCTAGGCGCTCACCGCCAGAGTGGAGCAGCCAAGTCAGCACTTGCGCGAGCGCGCGGAGCATGAGCAAGAAAACGCCCGCCGTGTGTTTAGGAAGGTCGTGAGGTCCAGTTGATACAAGCAAGTCCAGTCCATTCCAAAGGTCGGCCGCCCATGGCAATGCGATTGGCTGGGCCGATTTCGAGAGATGTGGCAAGACGGCCCAACAGAGCCCTCAACGGCTCCGAAGACGTGCCGAGACGGCCTTGGAGTGCCAAAGAGGCGCCTCAGAGGCCCCCACGAGGCCACCAAGATGCTCCCAAGACGGCCCAAAGGGGCCCTGAGGTGATGAAAGAGCTCTGGAGCGGGGCGTACGACAAGAGGAACATTGATTGGGGGTGGTGATAGAAGCTCTGTGGGCCCAAGGGGGTCGCGCGAGATCAAGACATAACGGTTCAAAGCGGATAAACTATTCATTGTTGCGCATGCATGGCCTGAATGAATTCAGCCAACGTCGCGGTAACTGCCAAATCTCATTGTCAAGAGCAAAGCTGCTCTGCTGCTGAAACCTGGGCGTCGCAGCCTGGTGGCCCCCACACGGGGGCTAGCGGACTCTTCGGAGTGGCGGCTCAACAGCAGCAAGATGTGTAAGACACAAACGGTTTCATCTGCCCGCGCATCATCCAACATGTGCGCCCCATTCTCTCCATACCTGACATGCCCCCTTTCGACCGTGTCCCACTGAAGAGGCTTCGGAGAAGGAGGAGGAGAACGAGAGGGCGAAGGAGAAGGAGGAGGACGAGAGGGCGAAGGAGAAGGAGGAGGACGAGAGGGCGAAGGAGAAGGAGGAGGACGAGAGGGCGAAGGAGAAGGAGGAGGACGAGAGGGCGAAGGAGAAGGAGAGGAGGACGAGGGCGAAGGAGAAGGAGCCTCGGAGGTCGAGGGTCGGGCGCCCGCCCAGCCCCCTTTCATCAGGTGAGGGGCACGACCTTGCCGAGGGAGAAGGAGGAGGAGGAGGAGGAGAGGAGGAGGAGGAGGAGGAGGGAGGAGGAGGAGGGGGAGGAGGAGGAGGAGGAGGAGGGAGGAGGAGGAGGGAGGAGGAGGAGGAGGGAGGAGGAGGAGGAGGAGGAGGAGGAGGAGGAGGAGGAGGAGGAGGAGGAGGAGGAGGAGGAGGAGGAGGAGGAGGAGGGAGGGAGGAGGGGAGGAGGAGGAGGAGGAGGAGGAGGAGGAGAGGAGGAGGAGGAGGAGGAGGAGAGGAGGAGGAGGGGGGGGAGGAGCAAACGGAGGGGGTGGAGGAGGAGCGGGGAGGAAGCTCAGCAGGGAGGGAGGGAAGGAGGAGGAGGAGGAGGAGGAGGAGGAGGAGGAGGTGGAGGTGGAGGTGGAGAAGGAGGAGGGGGATTTCCCAAGGATCACCCCAAGCCGACTGCGTCGGCAACGATACCTCAGGGGGTACTTCAATTGAGTGGCCGCCCATTGCAAAGACGCCTGAGGACCCGCTGACCCATCTTAGTGTGGGGGACTCGCCCCGCTCACACTGACACTCCCTACCTAGGTCCCTGGTAAGGCCGCGTCCCTCCCTAGCCCTGCAGCCGCACATCGTGCAAACCGCATGGGGCTCACCAAACGCAGGCACGTCAGTCCAGTGAACGATGCGAGGGCCCAAAGCTACCTGAGAACGGCTGGGGTTTCGGGGGGGGCCAGGACAACTGGAGCGCAACCAACTCTGCAACACCCGGTGCGCGGAGATCTTCTTGATTGAGCTTCTACGGTCAGTGCACCTCCAGTGGGCCCTGAACTCAACCAAGGCAAGGCAAGTTCGGGCCTCGGCGCGCGCCAGGGCGCTCGGCCTGGTCCTCCGCTCGAGTCGCTGCGCCTCGCGCAACGTCGGGGCCCCGTCATCGGAGTCGATGGCACAGCATGTGGATCTTGCAGTGCGGAGCTTGGTCAGAGCAAGAGAGGAGCTGGCCCATTGGACACAGTCGAGCCGGGCAAAGGGATCGCATCTGCTGCTGCCGCCTCCCCCGCCAGCCGATGGGCAACCCAGTTTCCGAGCCAGGCCATTCGGGGAAACCTTTGCGCCAAGGACTTCTCAGAAGAGAGACGATTGTTCAAGAATTTGGCACAAACATTCACGGCAGGTCGGAGGTGCAGAATCGTTGAAACGTGCAAGAGCTCGGGGTTCGGAGGTGCAGATTCCTGGAAGCCGCCGATCGCTTTTTGGGGGGCCACAGTATTCCAGAGAGTCCGCATCGTGAGGATTTTGCAGGAGTTGCTGTTGTTGCAGCCGGGGGGCCAGCAACGCAGTCCCAGGCACAGGGGCATCCTCACCAAGAAAGGGATGCGAGCGCCGCGGCGCACTGCGATCGACAGGACCTGGGTCGCACCCGACGGGGATACGGAAGAGCACAATGCCAGGATTCCGTCCGAACGGTGACGACCACGACGGGCTCGCGCCGCGTCGACGCGGCGGCGACCCCCGCGCGGGCGCTCGAGTTTGAGCGTCGCCAGTGGCCCAGCACCGGCCCGAACAGTCCAGGGCGCTCCGGCAAGGGCTCGGCCTTCGGGGCCTGGCTCCGATGGGGCGGCCGCTCGGGGGCGCGCCGGCGCGGGCGGCGCTCCTCCGGCGTGCCGCGCCGCCATGCCCGCGGCGGCGCCGCCGCGGCTGCGGCTGCGGCTGGCCCTCGACGCGATGATCGCCACGGGGCAGCCCTCCGCCGGGCCCGCGCCGGGCGCACCGCCGCCGCGTGGCGGGAAGGGCGGGAGGCGGCCGAGGAGGGCGGGCGCCGGCAGGGCGGAGCGCGGCGAGGCGGGGGGCCCGATGGTGGGCCCCCTGTGGAAGACGCGCCTCTGCAATTTCCACGCGTCCGGGGGCTGCCGCAACAGCTCCGAGTGCCCCTTCGCGCACGGGGAGGGCGACCTCAGGCCGTCGCCCGACTTCGAGCGCACCTCGGTGTGCCCCGCGCTGCTGAGCCGAGGCCAGTGCGACAGGCCGGGGTGCCGCTACGCGCACCACGCGGAGGAGCTCCGGGTCCAGAAGGGCCTGCTCAAGACCAAGATGTGTGCGTTCTACCAGAGCGACCACTGCATCGTCGGGGAGGCATGCCGCTTCGCGCACAGCGAGCGCGAGATCCAGGAGGCCCTCGCCATGCAGCGGGCCGCCGCACAGGGGGCGCACCAGCCCCCACCGCCGCTGGCCGAGCCGGCGGCTCAGAAGATGTCGAACCGGCAGCTCTGGCGATCCTCCTTCGTCGCCCCGCTGGGCGACGAGGCGGCACCCGCCCTGGCCTCCGGCTCCCTCGGCAACCCGCGGCAGCTGCCAGAGCGGCCCGGGCAGCGGGCAGCGCGCGAGCTCAGCCCGCTGGCGCCGAGCGCGGCGGACAGCAGCGGCCCCAAGCCTGCTCGAGTTCCCCTGCCCGCGTTCAGCCTGACGGCCCCGCCCGGCCTACTCGAGTTCCCCGCCAGGGTCTCCGACAGCAAGGTGGTGATCGACGCCGGCCTTGCCGAGATAGAGGGCATGGTCCTCGACATCGAGGAGGAGGTGATCGCCAGCAACGTCCTCCTCGAATCGGGGCTGCCCCAGAAGGTTCCGCTTCCTGCTCCCTACAGCAGCCGCCTCCTGGCGCGAGTGGTCACGCTGGAGGAGGAAATCGCCGAGCTCGGCCCCAGGGAACCCGCAGCCCCGTCGCGGCCACGGGAGGAGGCGATCCGCTGCGCTTGCGGCGCCGGGCTGAGCCCGGACCAGCGCTTCTGCTCTGCCTGCGGGGCCGCTGCGCCGCCCCCTCCACGGGGCGCCTCCGCGGCGCGGCGCCAGCAGACTGCGAAGCGGCTCCGAGGGGAGGCGCCGGCGCCGGCGCCGGAGGCGGTGGACGACGCCGCGGTGGTGCTGGACATCGAGGACGATAGCCTGGTGGCCGAACTGACCAAGGCCAGGCTGGAGCACGGACGGCCCGGCGCGCCGCCGGCTGCGCTGGGCGTGGCTGCCTCCAGGCGGCCCGCGGCACGGCACGGCGACGGCGCCGGCCCAGGTCGAGGCCCCTCCCCGCCGCGCGGGGCGCCGCCGCAGAGGCGGCGGAAGCTCACCATCGGGGTCCGCGCCGACCTCGACGAGCTCGGCCTCGACGATGGCGCCGGCGGAGGTGGCAGCGTGCGGGCGGGCCAGCGCTACGCCGGCTGCGCCCTGTGCCCGCGCGCCAACGGCAGCCACGCGGCCGGCGGAGGGGCGTGCGCGGCCTGCACGTGCGGCGTGAAGGTCGTCTCCCGCAACACGTTCCTGACCACCGAGGACGAGGAGGCGCAGGAGGTGCAGCGGGGGGCCGCCCGGCGCAGCCTGAGCGCCTGAGCCCGCCGCGGGCCGCGAGGGCGGCGGCGGGCCCGCCGAGGGGGGGCTCGCTGGAGCGCCCTCGGCGCGCGGCTGTCGCGCACGACTCCCTGCCTCCCGCCGGCTCTTCGGAGGGCCTCGTGGGCCCCACACGTCTGGATCGCCACCCGCGCTGGGTCCTGGCCTTAGGATGTTCCAACCGACTTCAGCCTGGATCACCAGAAAGACTCTCGAGCACCAGAGAAGAGTACCGGAAAACTCGAGGGTCTTCACGCGTCGGGCCCTGGGAGACGCTCGTCCGACACTCTCTCGACACTCTTTCGACACTTTTCCGGGTGCTCGAAATTATTTATCAGATTTGGTTTTTGAGTACGATGGGAGCAACATAATCCTGGCCCCCTCACCGCTTGCCAGCGGGCATGAGCGGCTCTTCTGCGGGGCATCTGCGGGTCCGTCATGACCCTGCGGTCGAAGAAGGAAACGTCGGCATAAGCACAAATTGTCGGAGGTCCGCGCGGATTTCTTGGATTGGCGCTGGACCCCCCTCCCTGGCGCATGGACCGCACCAGGGGCGGCGGTGGAGGTGCCTCTCGAGGGGAGGTCCAGCGCCGCCCCAAGACATCCGCTTGGACCTCCGCAGAGGGCGGGGCGGGGAGAGAGAGAGAGCGACGCGCGTGGTCGGGCCTCTTCGCCCGCCGAGAGTCGGCGGAGCGAGCGAGCCCCCGTGCGGGCCCCTCCTACTCGTCCTTCCGCTCGGGGAGGCGTCAGCCCGAGGCGGGAATGTATGCATGACCACCGCCTGGAGGGTCAGTTTTCGGAGCCTCGGCAGGCGGTGGACATGGACAGATTCGGGCCCCCGGGGGCCGAAGTATGTCCATGTCCACCGCCCGCCAGGGCACCAGGACGTCGGTTCCCAGGCGGTGGATATGGGTAAATCCCCGCCTCGCAGGAAGGCTCGAGATTGCCAGCACTCGGGTGTGCCGCCGGCTGTTGACGGTCCGCTTTCGTGAGATGTTTGCAGCGGGAGCTCGCATGAAATTTCAGAGCAGGTCCCGCCGCTGACGGCCCCGTTGGGCCAATTCACCCCCCCCAGACTCGAGTCTTACGTCTCCCCGACCCTCTTCGCCACGACCTCGTAAGAGTCTCACTGCTGCGGCTGGTGGCCTGGCATTTGTTATGTAGTGCTGCGCAGAGGTTTGCTGCGGCAGGTGGCCTGGCACGAGCTGCGGAGGTGCAAGAACAAAACAGCATCGCGTTGGCGGCTGCACAGTTGCAAGGATGCAGGGTCGGTGTTTTTCAAAATGCGACTCTCGCCTCAGCGCGCGCACCTTCGTTTTAGACCCTGCAACAATCACAAGGATGGCGACCGGCTCATTTTCAAAATGCGGTTCTCGCCTTAGCGCCGCACGCACTTCCAAGGCGGTTGGTTTTCAAAATACGGTTCTCGCTTCAGTGCCGCGCACATGCGTTGAAGAATTGCCCACTAGTGAAAGGATGAAGGCGATCTAATTATCGAAATGCGGCTCTCGTTCGAGACTTCTTCAAGTTCCATTACCCGACGTTCCAAATTTTGGATGGGCTGCACGGCCAGAAAGTTGAAGCCGTGTGGCATTTACACGGATGAAGGGTGGATCTTCTTTCAAAATTGGGTTGCCATTGGACATGTTTTTGAAGTTATCTGTCTTACGGTTGTACACTCCTATTCTAGCTCGAGGGATGGAAGGTGGATCATTGGCAAAAACGGGGTCTCGCCTGAGTGGCAGGCGTTCGTCATTCAAGGGCGGCGCCTCCCGCAGTGGAAACGAATCCTTGGCCACAGGCTCGTGAGGAGGAGTCTCGGGGTGGTAGGGTGCACTGCTGCATCGTTGATGCACTCTGGACTTGCTCTTGTCCTCCTCTTCCTGCTCCTCCTCCACCACCGCCCCGTCGCCCTCCTCCCCATCCTCCTCGTCCTCCTCCTTCTCCTCCCTCCCTGGGCTGAACCCCATGTGCTATTCTGACCAACGCGGACCGCCCCCATAGCAGACCGGTCTTGCTCCTCCTAGGAGAAAAAAACAGACAAAATTGATCATCGCCTCCCAGGGAAAGTACGGGAAAATGTGGGAAGTGGGGGGGAGAAGGCAGAAACCGCAAAAATATGGGAAAGGATGGGGGAGCCTGGGATTCGTGTGCATTTATTTGTGTGTCCTTGGGCCCCTTGGTCCTCCTCCTGCCTGCCTGCCTGCCTCCCCCTCCCGCTCCGGCTGGGCCGCCCGCCTCTCCTCCCTGGGGGGAGGGGGGGGGGCTGTCGTCACTTGCCGTGGGCACAGTGAAAGGCGCGTGAGAGTCGCGCTCACGTGTGTCCGCCTTCGCCTCCTCCTCCTCCTCCTCCTCCTCCTCCTCCTCCTCCTCCGCCTCCTCCTCCGCCTCCTCCTCCTCCTCCTCCATCTCCTCCTGGTGCGGATGCCCGTGGGTGCGCTTCTCGCCTGGCCGCGGCTCGGTACCACGCCTGCTCGTTCTTGGCTCCCCCCCGTCGCTGCTGCCTGCTGGAGGACCTGGCTCGTGCCTCTTCGGCACGGGCTGCGCACAGGCTCTGCCCGAAGGGGCCTTCCAGCGGCTGCGCCTCGTCGAGAGGGTTCCGGGGGTGCCCGGGTCGCCCCGAACGGCCGCCAGAGACCCGAGTTGTGGCCCGCTGACCAGGGGGCACCGTGAGAGGGGGATGGGCACAGCGGGGGACGAATCGACCCCCAATCGCCCATTCATCGCCAGCAGAGGCCCGATAGCCCAACCCTGCCGGCCCAGGAACGTGCGGATTCACTGTTGGGGGCCTATCGCCAATCTATCGGTGATGCATCGCCGATTCCAGGTCGATGTGTCCCCCCCCCCAGTCCCCCCCGATCGCTGCCCCTCGGACGAGAGGGACCCGAGAGAGCACACAGTGGCCCCAGGAGAGCTCCAGGTCGGCCCTAGAGTATTCCACCTCCTTTCCCTCGCTGCTCCCACGGGCAAGAGCCAGACACGTGTGCCACTTGTGATGCATTTCCTCTGGACAGGTGGGGCCCTCATGGATTTGGAAGGTGAGAGCCGTACTTGCTTTGAAATTATCGTTAACGACTCGATAGCGATTCGGCTTCGCAGTCTGCACAGCACAGTAGGTCTGGGAGAGAGTGCCCTTTACCCCGGCATCCGGCAGAAGGGTTAAGAAACACATACGCAGAGTTCGAGCGAGAGCACCACTTGAAAAAGAAGCACCATCCATCCCGGTACACATCGAAATCTTCAGTTTCAGGGTCCTAAGCCGTCGTGAAGTCCCAAGCGGAACAACGACCTTGAAAATATGCCGCCCTCAGGTATTTAAACTACTAGGAATATGTCGTACTTCGGGTTCTGATGTGTGTTGACGCTTCAATCAAATGCCAGATTTTGAGAACGAACAGGTCCATCCATGTAGCCCTTTGAAATATGAAGTCTGAGGATCATCTAGCGGGAGCCATGGTTTGACAAGGTGCAACCTTCCATCCGTGCAAATATTGGACATTTTCAAGGCGAATGTGCGCGGCGTTGAGGCGAGAGTCAGGCGTTGATAACATACCGCCTACCACCTGTGTAATCGCTGGAAGCATTACGCCAAATTTGCGCGACGCGTGGCTGAAGCAATAGCCTGATTTCAAAGACAACCCTCCCAGCCTCCGTGTAACTGTCGGAAATGTTTGAGACGAAGTGCACGCGTGGCCGTTGAACATTGTAAACAAGTGTGGGCGACGCGCGAATGCGGTAGCCATATTTGCAGACCACTTTTACTACCTCCGTGTGACTGTTTGCAATTGCAGGCTTGAAGGTCGTACTTGTGGCGTCCAAAACCTGGCTAGCGAGGCGACAGAAGTTTCTGGAAGCTTCTTCGAGGGAGCCCCGGAAGCTCTGGGACTGAGTTTCTGGAAAGCTCCAGAGCACACGCACTGGGAAACAGCGGGAAAAAAAGGCCTTGGAACCGCAGACTTGAAGATCACACCGCTCAGGGAGGTTGCAGGGAGGCGCCCGGACCGCCCTGCCGAAGCGCCGGGCGGCGCGACGAGGAGGGTCTTTTTCGCAAGGCAAAAGGGCAGCAGCAGAGAAAGAGAGGCAGGAGGTCAGAGGAGCTCTGCCATTGCTGGCCCCTCAGCTTTCGCCAAACGTCGTTGCATCTCCCCTTCCTCACTGCTCGCTGCCACAAGCCGCTGCCAACTCGTAGCAAGCCAATCCTGGCATGGCATCATCTTCGCCTCAGGGGTGGAAGAAAGTCGAAGAAAACGAAACATCATGACGATAAGCTGTCGCAGGGCCGCGCAGTCTTCTTGGATCGGCGCTGGGCACCCCTCTCTGGCGCGCGGAGCGCGCCAACAGGGGTCCAGCGCCAGTCCAAGAAATCTGCGCGAACCTCCGAGATTCGATGCTTATGCAGATGCGGCCTTCTCGATGCTCGGAAGGGGCAGGGGATGGGGCAGCAGCAGAGGGAGACTGGGAGGAGGGCAGAGGGGTGGCGGGCCGAGGAGGAGGAGGGAGGAAGAGGAACGGAGGCTCTCGGGGATCATGTGGGGGGGGCGGGTGATCACTTTGCCTCCGACCCCCTGCGTTCTGTTGCCTCCAGGCCTGAAGGTACACCTTTCTACACTTGCCCGCCTTCGATCGTCGACCGGCTTCGGGGTCTAGCACAGAGCGCGGAAGAAGAGGCCCTCGGGGCAGCAGGTCCCCGAACAGTTCCCCCGAAGGCGGCGGCGCGGCGCGCGGCCGACGCGGAGTTCGCCCACCTCGAGACGCGCCGGTACGAGAGCGCGTGCTGCCGCGCAGCGGCCCGGCGCTGCCGCACCTTCCCGACCCCGCGGCTGACGAAGCTGCGGCCGGTGCCCAGCGGGGGGGCGTCGTCGGGGGGCACGCCACGTGGGATCAGCGCAGACAGGGGTTCGCCGATCCCCTCTGGCCGACCTGGGCTCAGAAGCCGCATGGCGCCGACGGCCCCCCCTCCCCTCCCTCCGCGGACCTCTATTTGGGAGCTGCGTGGTGGGTGGGCCAGCCTCGGGACGTGGCCATGACGGGCCCGTGTTAGCGCTAACCCAGATTGTCGGCGGCAAGCGAGGGGGGGAAATGAGAAGGAGAAGGCCTTCTCAGAAGGCGGCTGGACTCCTCAGAAGCCCTCGCACCTTCTGAGAAGTTGTTTCTGTTTTCGGGGAAGATTCGGAAAATTTCTCAGGAGGCCAGGGGACTTCCGAAATCTCTGAGAGGGCCTTCTCCTTCTCACTTCCCCCCCTCGCTCGCCGCCGAGATTTGCGCGTCCCCGACTTTGCCGGATGGCTGCGCCGGTCTGGCCGTGGCCCAGCCGGGTCGCTCCAGGGAGGCGTTTCGCCTGCAGCGCATGTCGCCCTCGGCGAGAGGCCGTGCGGAGGTAAGACGTCCGCAGGTACGCGGCGCAAGAACACTTCCGCGGGTACGCAGCGCAAGCAGGCGGAAGTCGGCGGAAACATACACATTGTTCATTTCTAAGTTTTCGAAAGTTCCTTGATTTTTTGGGGGGGCCAGGATCCTTTCATTTCTAATTGTTCTATCCTGGGCCTCTTCCTGGCCACTAGGGGGCCAGGAACAATTAGAAACAAGCACAATTGGAAATGAGCACGATTAGAAATGAATGACGTGTAAGTGCGACGTCCACATGTTTGGATGTTTCGGAGTCGGCCAGCTGGCGTCGAGGAGCGGCCAGCCACAATTGGGGCGCGTGTGATCCTTAGCCCATGGGAGGGGCCACTCGATGCGGCACCTCTTGGAAGAGAGATGGTCGATACGGTAGGCTCCGCCAGGGGGGAGGGGGCAACACAGCTGGGAACGCAGCTCCCCCGACTGTGGACGGTCGAATGGCGTGCGGGGCGAACGTCTAGGCCTCCCAGCTGGGGTCCGAGTAAATGTGGCCGGAGGATCGCGCCACATCGCCGATGCATCGCCGATGCGGCTCGATGTGGAGCCCGATTTTCTCAGCGTCCACGGCGCCGGTGCATCGCCGACGTCGCCGATGCATCGGCGATGCGGCGCGGTCCTCCGACTCCATCGACTTGTTCCCCATCTGGGAGGCCTCTGCGCATGAGGCCACGAATCGTGTGAGGGGAGGGAGGGGGGAGGAGGAGGAGGAGGAGGAGGAGGAGGAGGAGGAGGAGGAGGAGGAGGCGGCCGTCACCGCGCCAGGGTTATGGCGCAGAGAGGCTGGCCCCTCTCTGGGAAGAGAAGCGCTCATGCCACGAATGACTTCGATCCAATACAGTCGGGGCCCTGAAGAAGGAACCCTTTTCGTTGGGGAGGGGCTCCGCGTTCCTTAAGTGCTTCACAGCTTGCCCCACGTTTTCTTTAGGTTTTCGAAGGGAAATCGAAGTTCAACTTGTGGAAAACAGGGGCCTCGTTCCTTATTTAGGGTTCCTTAGGTCAACGCCCCGACGGTACGTGACTCGCTCTGGATGTCATGGGGCAGCGATGCTGGACACTTGTTCTACTCTGCCTCTGCAAAGTTATAGACCCCCGTCGCAGCACAGCAAGTAGCGATCCCAGGCCTGCGGTGAATGATAGCGATGGCTCTGCAGGATCAGACTGGACCATCAGCTCTCGGCGGCCACGCCGCCTCGGCAGGCTGGCCCAAGGAAAAGGAAGCTGCGCCCCGCCCCTCCTTCTTGCCAGGACACGCGCGCCAATGTGCGAGGCGGAGGGGGAGGAAGGAAAATATCGGAAAGCACCTTACTGACTGGTTGCGCTTGTCCCTTTTCGCGAAGCACGGTCCCGTGGCTCGAGGGACCCTGTTGCCCAGCAGAGGAGAACCTCTCAGCACATTAACGAAAGGCTCGGCTTTCGAGAAAGCGTTCGGCAGCTAGCCTAGTCACGACGAAGTTACTAGATCCTCATGTGGCGGCAGCGCCCGTGTTCAGATAGTAATTCGCCCTCAGAGCTCCATGGAGCGTAGCGCGACTAAGGAGATCAATGGATGGATTGAGGTCGTTTGGCGACGACAGCGAGGGATACGCGTAGTGCCCACAGGGCTCCTGGGTAACCCACCCTTCGAGGCGAATGCTCAGAAATCTCGCGGTGCCAGTCCTTGGGGAGGGAACATCCGAGGCCAGTGTTGTCTGTTCCAAGACGCGCCTCGGATGCTTGCCAACCGTCAGCAGCACAGGTGGTTGCCATGCTTGTCTGAAAAAGCCATCACTTCCAGTCTCCAGTTCCTCCCTCCCTCCCTCCCTCTCCGATGTCCCTCCTCGGCCGCGCAGGAGGCAGGAGAGCGCGAAGCGGCCCGGATACGCCAACGGCTGCGAGAACGCGAGGCGGCCGGCGCACACGCTGGACCGACGCCCGACGACGATGCAGTGACTTCCGCGGTCGGGCGCACGGCCGGAGGTGTGCTAAGGGGCGCTCCCAGCACCTCCATGCGTCAAGGAGTGGCGAAGCGTCCTGGCTCGCCTGTAGCCCCAGCAAACAATTTTCCAATCACCTTTTTGTGAGTTCGCGAAATGCTCTTAGAACATGGCTGAGTTTGTCTTGTTTTAACGCACCCGGTTTATGTTCTAAGAACATGGTTTTTGTTATTCGAAAATTGTTGGGTTAATTGAACATTTCGTGGTAGGACTATAGGAATGCTGGGACGATCGGTCCTTGCTCAACTGAGCTGTCTGTCTTGTGTTGTCCCACCTTCTCTCGCCGTCGCTTATACCACCGCGTCCGCGCTTGCTGCGCGCGCTCCACTTGTGCATGAGCCGTGCGGGGGGATATGTGTCCAAGCTTGCGCGCAGCGATTGCGAAGTCTTTCCCTCCCTAGCCGCTTCCGCACGCGACTGTGCGAATGGATGTTTCGAATCAAGGCGGAGGGCTTAGAAACGCTTTGGGCTGATGATTTTTTCAAGGGTTGCAGAGTCGTTGCGTTCTCTCACACACACACACACACACACACACAAACACACTGCCCATGCGCCGATGTTGTTGGCGAAGCTGACCCGCCCAATGATCCTGATGCAGGTAGCCCCCATGCTATGATCCAGGCGAGTTGCCGTCTGAACAGCGACCTGAGACAGCATCAGCATGCGGTACGGCAGTGGTCTTCAAAGCCGTTGTGGGCGTCAGGGTTCAGGGCTGACTCGGCGCAGTTCCTTCGCATCGTAAGCGTAAAGAGTGTATCCAGCGCAGGGCCGCGTGTACGGACTGTTCGGCACTTCGAGTGATCCCGTGCGCATTGCCAGGAGCATTACCATAAGAAATGTACCAACCCCGTGCTTCATTACAGGCGGCCGCATGCTGGCGGCATGGGTTGGCACTGCTGCGTTTGATTAATCAGCTGGGCATAGTTGGTGTTCGCCGGAAAAAATGCGTTCCACTTGCGGTTGCATACGCGCGCCGGCAACGATGCGCGACGACGGCTCTGCCCGCAGAGGCGAGAGCGGGGACCACGAGGGTTCGGAGCGCCTCTGGGGCCCCGCATTTGGCCGTCATCGGCGCGTTCTCTTTCTCGGCGCCGACTTCAGCGTTCCCAGCACGTGCAGGTCAACACTCCCTAGGTATAGTCCTCAGGTCAGAAGCCACTAGCCGCCGACAGGTGACATTCTCAGGGTGTTTGCGTCCGCTGGTTGGGCGGGGATGTTGCAAAATAATTCGCAGTGGCTGTAAGTGAGGAAGACAACGCCTCTCCAACGCAACCGCTTTTTCCGCCAGTGCTTTAGATACGTGTATACATAGAGAGAGAGAGAGAGAGAAAGCAACAAAACAAACTCTCTGAGTATAGTCCCCAGTCCATTCAACCAACGCCCACGCAGGAAGGGCACGGTCATCCGTTCGCATCGGGAGTTGCGAGGCCACTGCGTTATTCGAGGGCGTACAGCGTGAGCTGTCCCAGCAGTCATTGCCGTCTCGTGCGCAAGGGCGCTGTTTCGCGAGCAAGACCGAGGAACCCTGCAGGAACAGGAATTCTGGGGTCTGTCGGGATGGGTGACGGGCGCTGGAGTGTGGTAGGTGTCTGGGCCAAGGCTGGAGAATGCGTTCGTGGCAATTTCGGGCGCACCACTTGAGCAGTACTTTGTGCGCTTCCCCGTAAGCCGCGGCTCGCTTGCTATATGCTAGCGAGGGCGCCCTGCGTGCAGCTGACCATAGAAATTCGGTGCTGGCGTGGACCGATGCAGCAACGAAGACATGCAATTACGTTGAATTGGCCCGGATGGCCCGAGAGATGTTCCGTCCGTTCTAGCAGCGCCAGCGGTACCAGCAGGGAAGACGCGATGTGAGACTGAGATATTCACTGCGTGGAGAAATCACCTGCCAGCCCACACAGCAACACAGCTTGTTGCACGCAGGCCCGGCGAGCGCACGGGCCAGTCGAGCAGCCCAGAGGCGCGGAGCAGCACTAATCGAGCCCAGCAAGACGCAGGAAAACGCAGGACGTAGCGGCCGCAGAGGGGAGGAGCACGCGGAGGGGCAACGTCAGACCATGGAGGTTTCCGTCAACAGCCTGCGGCCCAAGCGCGACCGAGCCGCAGGCGGGGAATCAAAGGAAAGGTACTGTTGCCTTTCCCTTGTTTTCCCCTTTTTGGGCCTCTTGGGAGGCCCTCGTCATCACCGCTGGATTCGCCTCGAAGTTCCTGTCAGGACGCACCCCGGGAGCGGTCCAGGGAGCAGTGGCAACGGTACCTTTTTGTTTCCCCAAGGGACGAGGTTGTCCCGGAAGAGGTGCAGCAGGTCGGCGTGCTGGCTGGGGACGACCAGGCCCGTGTAGCGCCCTCAGGCGTATTTGCACTGCCCAGGAGCGGGAACTCGTGACCGCGCTCTGGAGTGCTCCGCGGCAGGTCCACCGAAAGCACACAGGGTCCACTGAACAACCAGTCTGGGACGCAAT